ACTTTCAAATCTTTTTTTCACTTTCAGATCTTTTTTTTTCAGTTTCAAATCTGTTTTTTGAGTTTCAGACTTTTGACCCTGATGTGGCGTGGGGGGCGTGGCATCAACTGAGAAGTGAATCAAAATTATATTTAACCTGAAAAAACGTTTCATACACTTATTTTTATTTTGAATACAATGTTGTATTTTTCAAAATTCAAGATCAACACATGAATTTTCAGTTTCAAATTTTATTTTTTCAAGTACAAAACATTTGACCCTAATGTAGCTCCATAACTAGCACAATCCTTACTGCTTTGCCGACATCGTCATTAACAGGAGGCTCGCTCAGTGTTAGCAATGGTACTTATACTACTCTTTGTCAGACCTTGAACTCAAACCATTGTGTTGTCCTGCCCAAAATATATAATTTAATAATTAAATTAATATCGTAAACATGCGGGCGAGTAGTCGACTAATGTAAGTGTAGTTTTGTGAATGCAATATTACAGTATTAATTTCAAACCTTGACATCGTAATGACAAATGTGAGTCCCATCGACTAAACAATAACTATCTAAAGAACAGCCCACAAAACTTGTTTGAAATCTGCCACTGTATACCTTTTCCAAATTTACTGACACAAAAATGCTTCATTCACACACAATACCCTCAGTCATCCAGATCAATATTACATGATTTATCTTACATGGAAAATTGATGGCTTTTAAAATGACATTAAACTGTTAATGTCGAGTTGTGAATCTTGATACATGACGCCCCATGGCCAGGCATTTGATTCAGGAAAAAAAAGCAGTTAAAATGATGGGATCTATAACTACAGTTTGAATCAGACTGCTCCTCTGTCCATCTCCTGTGTCCACATGTATCACAGAGCACTTACAGTAAAGCACTTCAGCAGCTCCGCAGCCCTGCCCCGACCCTACCAACCAATCATCATGGATAAAATGTTAATGAGCGTTGCCATGGCTATGGTCACACCAGGCAAACCAGCGGTGACCTTCTCCCGGTCCACGTTAATGATTAGGAGACCTGAGCTGAACGCAGTGTGCAGTTCAAATCCCAGGAGGGGAAAATCTGGCTCACAGAGAGGCTTTACAATGAAAACACACTGGGACAAGTGCAATAAACATAAATCACTGTATGTATGGACAAACAGCTGATGAGACCAGACAGAGAGACAATAGATCAGCAACTGAGAGTCACTCATCACATAGAAATGGTATTCAAAAAGTGCTTTTATACATAATATAATCTTCTCAGTTTTCACAATTTCATTATTATTCCAATCTCACACTTACATGTAAAAATCTCCACCATCTAGTTTCACCCATTTTCAACACTCTGAACTAACACCTGAAGTACATCAGAAGGAAACTGTAGAACTAGAACTAGGCACAAACATCTGGGATTCCCTACCTGCCAGCTCAAGGCAAATTTAGGATTTTAAAACCTTTTCTACAACAATCAAGTCCTGGTTAAAACTTCGCCAGAACTGCAATCATGACACCAACAAATCATTATTTGTGTACTTGAGTTAACGTTTTAAATGTTTTGCATTGTGTTTTGTTTGTTTCATTAGTCAGTTTAAATTAGGCATGTCAATGGTTAATCTTTAATCGGTTACGGCTGAGAATATTTTTGACCAGTAACACGTGTCGTCTATAGCTTAATTTTGCTTCTCTTCACTCATGCCACTCATTCGGTGATTATCGCTAGTAACATCGTCCCTCCCCAATGGCGTTGCTACCAAAACAAAGTGGCCACCGCCTGGTCTCCCCGTGGATGTGGTCTCCCCCTACATAATTCTAGTGACCTTTAGCATTGTTAACTATGTTAGCACTAACACTGTTAGCTCTGTTAGTACCATTAGCAGTGTCGGCACAGCTAGTGGTGCTAACATACTTTAGTTTACAACACTAAAGGGGTTGAGCAACTCAAAATGAATGAATGCCAGGGATGGTTGTTCTTGTTTTTGATTACTATATGCACCAATTTTAAGAATTTAAACTGTAACATGCAATTCTAATGATCACTTGGACTATCAGTGCCCATCAAGGGACTGGTGTTGGAAATAAGCTCCAGCTATATGCATGTGTACAATACGTCAGACACTGCTTAACTGTTAATGTTTCTATGTACTTGCTCCTTATAAATAAATTAACAAGTTAAACTATATTAAAAGTTAGGTTTTCTTGTAAATAAATAAAGTTTACATTAAAGGTTTCTTACAAAATACAACAGCACACAGACACATTTAATGTAGCGACTAGTTGGTGAAAATAATAGAGCATTTAGCTGGTGAAATGATTTCTCTCAGGAGTTGGTATAGACCAAAAACAGAGCTAAAAGACAACAAATATTGGACTTATATTCACCAGGTGGGCACAACATGAGTCTAGATGAATGATCATGATATCCTGTTACTGCTGGATGTAGAAATAAGCAACTGTTTGCTAACAACTTACAAGGTGATTATACATCAGTGTTACTGTTGTTTCAGCTGCCCCCAAGTGGCCAGACAAATCAGTTAATGCAGGTGTACCATAACTGGATGTTAGCAGTCTTCTTCCCTGCCTTTGTTGGCGTATCGGACAGTTTTGTGCATGTTACTGCCACCGACTGCTGATCAGCAGAATAGCATGAAGCTAACACTGTGGCCAAAAAGCTTTATTCCGATTCAGCAAGCTTAATAAACTAGTATTAAATACTTTTAGATACAGTATAGTTTAAATAGGACTTCGTATTAAGTTGTTCAGTATGAAATCAACTCCGAGAACTTTTTTGTATTTTCTTTCTTGTTCGCTGCTAAAATATGCTTGGCTTAGAAGCCAAATACAAAACAAAGTATTAAAAAAGATTTAATATTTGTGCTATCAGCAAAAGGGGGACATACTGCATTTTTTAGCACCACCTTTATTCAGCTTAATCCTATTTGCATCAAAATAGGCCGTTACCATAAGCCACTGCTAGCTCCGCAGGTTTAGTCCAACAGATGGTGACACCTATAGCAGGTAGGCTAAACTGGAGGCTTCTGGCTGTTTATATGCAGTATTGCATATTTGCATTACAGTAAATACCATAGAAGGATAAGGCTCTTAATAAGCTATTAAGCAGAAAACATAAAAAAACTGAAATGAAAAATGGAAAAATGCCATGAAATGTCAAAACTGTACAATACTAAAACTAAAATACCCTGTGAGGTTATTGCAGGATGAGTATAAAAATGTATTCATTAAATCATATAAATAAATAGCAGCACAGGTACATAAACCTATTATAGGATATAGAGTATAAATAAATAAAGTTTAAGTGTATAAATGGAGGCTGAGAGCTGCAGCTCGGTGCTCTCTGTTGTTTTGCTGCTCGTCTCCTCAGCTGAGTCTGTCCTGTGGCTGCCATACTCTCTGTATGCTGGTTATGTAATCTGAAGGAGAGAGGAGGAGGAGGGTCTGGACATACACACACACACACACACACACACACACACACACACACCACACAACACCAGCTTCTTCCTGCCCGTCCTCCTCTCACCATCTTCTACAACACATCTCTACATCAGTCATCCTGCAGGCTGCGAATCTCAGATCAGTGAGGGAATACAGTATTTGATATCAGCTATTTATAAACTCTGTGCATGAGAAAAATGTATGTTTCCAGTCCATACACACACACACACACACACACACACCTTTATATTTCTTAGATTTCCGATCAATAGCTGCTTCTGTCAGGACGACAGAGCTGGAAATATGAGCGTGTATGTAAAAGCTTGTTTTTCATTGCTTTGCATTGATGTTATCACTGATGGTTGTTGGCTGTTGTTGTTGTTGTTTACAGGCCAGTGTACACAGACCCCAAACAACCTATTTTTATCTATTTCATTTTTTTTTAATATTCAAAACTGTTATTTTTTATTCTATTCTATTAATATGATATTTCTCCCTACACATACTTACATTGTATATTTTATTGATTTTATATATCTATTGAATACATTCATAAATTATTTTCCAATAATTCAAATTTCTGTTATGCATTTATTTATTTATTTTTAATATTCTAATAGTTTGCTTGCACTCTGCAAATTCTAAATGTTATTTTGTACAGGTCATTTATATGTTTGTTTATATATATTATTTGCTCTGTATGTTATTATTGGCATTCCTGAATTACTTTACATAATTAATTACTGACTGTAATCTTTTTTTTTTTTTACTTTTTTATTTGCACTATTTTTTTTAAATATTACCTATTAGAATATTTTTACTGTGTAATTTACATATTTTATTTTGAATATTAATTATATTGTATTCATTTTTCTTTTATGTATATATTATATATTTTAATCCTGAAGTACTTCAAATATTATGATTTTTTTTATATTATTTTAATTAAAAGTTTATTTTAATTTTTTTGTTACTATGTAATTTATGTGATTTTTTTTGTTTTGTTATCATGAATGCATGATTTTTCTAAACTTTTTTTTTTTTGGATTGTATTTTTAGGATTTGTTGTATTACTTTTTTATTTCTAATAATTTTTCAAGTTAAATTATTGTCACAGATGGCACTGACAACTAGATAAGAGCCTCCTTAATATAATAATGGCTAATTTTCCTGATAAGCTCCTTCCTGCAGTTCACCGACTTGTTTACCGACTCGCAGCGTCTCCTCGGTGAGCAGCAGAGTTTACGTTGCTCTAATATTATTTCTACATAACAATATTCCTGTGTGGACTTTGGTTTATTTGCAGTGGATCTTTGTGCTGAAACGTATTACAGGATCACCGTGTTTGTTTTTCCTGGGCTCAGGTGAAGCTGCAGTGAAGCAGTCTGCCGGTCCTTGGCAGCCCCGCTGATACAATATTGACACAGATCAGAAACAGAAATAGTCTCCTCCGGTCTGTCTGCAAAATGGCTGTGAGGAGCTCTCTACAGCACCGGAGACGCTACGGATGCAGCTCATCAAGAAAATAATCAACCGTTAATTCACTCACCGAATCTCCTGTCAGCAGAAGCGGGGAAGCAGCTCAGGGAAGCGAGGAAGAGGAGGAGGAGGCGGCGGTGGAGGAAGGAAAAAGCCAAAGGAACCATGTCTCTTCTCCTGGGTTTATTCTCTCAGGTGTTAAAAGGCCATTTTCTTCCAGCGAGATTTGCTTCGTCTTCCTTCCCGTTCAGAGTAGCTCCTCCGCGGCTGGAGGAGCAGAGGAGAGCCGGGACACACGGACGGCGGATGGATGTTGGAGAAGAGGAGAGAGGATGCAGGGCGTTCCTGCTGCTGCTGGAGGCTCGAGCTCTCTCAGCGTCAGCGCACGTGCAGATAGACGCGAGACTTCCGGTACGGCATTTTAAAATAAAAGTCTGAAACTATATTAAGCGTCACAATTTATGAAGAAATGAGATGCAAAATTGTAAAAATCTAAGTGGAAGAGGGTACAGAACTACAGCAACAACCACAAAGGACTTCAAAAGTAAATTGTATAAACAAATAATAACCCAATCCAACATAAATCAGCCAACAGTCCCACTTTTAAGAAAATTTATATTTGTGTTTACACTTCATTCCGTCAATCTGAGAATTTTTTAAAAATCTTTTTACCTAATATGTGTGATAATTCATCACAACTCGTCACATATAGATGACTTACACTTTTGTCAGAGTTGACTTTTCCTGGAGCTCTGTTTATGATCAACTTTACCTGCACATAACCGTCAACATACATGGGTAAACGTTTCTCCATGATATAGGCCACAATCATTTTTATTTTATTTTATTTTACTTTATTTAATCATCTACTACATGTTTTCCTTGCATCTGTATAACATCCAGCCTTTAAACTTTTATTCTGAAGGTAAAATCACTCAATATCCGGATTTAATCGTTTTTGTAGTCTGACTTGACGGATTCACGGACTCACGGAGCTCTCCACTCTGATTCAGCACTGCCGTTGCTTTCAGGTGCTGTCGGAAATAACTCAGGTTCACAGTTGAAGGCGGGTGAATGAGTGATGATGAAAAGTTAAGGCCACTGTCTGAGGAAAGGCTGATGAGGTTTGCAATAAAATGCCTTCATATAGCATTCAAATGTGTATCTGTAGCCTGAATATATGGGCTCATTAATCATTATTCATTTAAAAAAAAAGTTTCTAAAGCCAGAAGGTATCTGATGGATTTTATCCATTATAATACAACATCATTTATTTGTTGATTATATTTAGTATTTTTAATCTGAATCTGCAGAGTCACTGAAGTTATCAAATAAGTGTAAAGGAGTAAAAAGCACAACAATGTTAAGTATAAAGTAGAAATACTAAAAATTGTACTTAAATGAACATTGAAATGACAACTCTTCACTACTGGTCCATGTGTTAAATTATGCATAGTACATATTGCTGAATCACATTTTGTTTATTCATAGATAACCACCAATAGGTGACTGAAAGGGCGCCCACAGCTTATTTATACACAGGAGACCCCCTGTATTGTAGGTTATTTTATGTTATTTTATTTTATGTTCAGTCAAATAAGCAGGCAGCAAACCTGGCGCTGTGTATTCTGTTACAGGAATACCGAACAAAATGCTCAGAGTGGAGGAAGGAGTGGGTGACTAATGAGGGCCCAGCAGCTAGTTTTTAAGGACACCTGGTCCTCATGGAAATATACATGTATTCTCACAAACTTGAAACACCCACAAGCCATCAGTCAGCGTGCAGCATATCCTCAGACTTTCTCTTATGCCACCTGCACACATTAGATTCTCATTTATGATGAACAGCAAGAGATGACAAGTGCTCTCTCTTTCTTTCTGTATGTGTGTGTGTATGTTTTACCACTTGACACCAATATCCAGAGGCAATGACTCATCAAAATATTCCAGCAGGAGGAGCAATTATCGATCATATCCAGCTGCAGGTAAACTGTGCGGCCTCTCGGCACAGATTATGGAAAACAACAAGATATTTTATTGTAATCATGCAGAAGACACAGATTTATATAACGCTATCAGCAGGTGACTGTGGTCCCATACAAGCACTGAGTGAGTTCATCGTACACATCGACGATTAGATGAGCCAAAATGTCCTCCAGTTAAACCAAGATAAAGAAAAGGGATAATTGTTTTTGGAGCTCCAAGAAAAATGATTAATGCTGATGTTGAAAACCAAAAACCAGGCCTGAATTTACACCTCTCAGGTGGTCTGGTTCAGGTCTGAAGAAGCAGCATTCAGTCTTTGTGCATCACATATCTGGAACAAACTCCCATAAAACTGGAGCTCTGCTCTGACTCTCACTTCTTTTAAATCAGGGCTTCAAACTTTCCTGTTTGTCAAAGCCATTCATTAAATTCAACTTGGGACTACTTAGACATATCCTGCATTACACTGTAGCTGCACTATTGTTTTACTGCTCTTTGATTTGTATCATTCTAGTTTGGCTTGTTTGACCTCCTTTGCTTTTAAAGGAAGTTATTTGTGCCTTTTTATAAGGTCTTGTTTCAGTATCCTGTCAAACAGTTTGACCAACTGTCCTGTGTTGTGTTTAGGTTCAGGTGAAGAAACTTGATGAAGACTCTCTGCACAGGTGTGTTGTTGCCATAGTGACTAAAAAAATGCACCACAGAGCTGCTGTTGACAAAAAGAGTTAATAGTTTGGTGACACAGCAAGATTTTGGGTGTTTTTCTTGCTTGTCTGCTAGTCTTAGAGGAGCAGTTGAAAGATTTGATGCCCTATCGGTTTACTTAAATTCACGTCTACACGTCTAAACTTGTGTTGTCCTGCATAATGCTGTGCCCTTTTCATTTAATCAAATACATTTCCACGGGATGTCTGCAGGTATCATTGTCAGATTTCATACTTTTTTAGACTACATACAGAGATATTGGTTATTAAGTCTGTAGGATTTGAAGGCTTGTTTTTTTTTAAGACTGAGGACCACAGAGAAGATCCACTTTAAAGGTTAGGTGTGTAGGACTTATGGGGATATATTGGCAGAAATGGAATAGGCTAATATACTATGATATGTAATCACCTGAAAATAAGAACTGTTGTGTTTTCATTACCTTAGAATGACCCATTTATATCAACATAGGGAGCTGGTCCTTGTGGATTCTGAGCACACATCAGCAGGTGCTGGGCTAGCAGCCCTTGTCCGACATGCCAAACAGCATCGGAGAAACACTCATTTCTGTCATGAAACTATTCTATACAATGTCTTCACCGGTTTAAATCATAGGGGCTGTTTGTTTTGGAGAAGAAGAGACCTCTGTGGACAATTCTGCTCCTGGTAAAAACCTACTGAAAGTCTGGATCTTAAGTTATAAGAAAAAAAAGGTGAGCACACGTTATCAGGTGCTGGGCTAGCAGCCTGTGTGTCCTACATGCCAAACGACATCGGAGAAACACAGATTTATAATATGAAACTGATTCATTCCATGATTTTATTGGTTTGACTCATCAGAGCTATTTGTTTTGGAGAGGAGGAGACCTCTGAGGATAATTCGGCTCCCAGTAAAAACCTCCTAAACATCTGAATCAGAAACAAGTTGAGCACACATTAGCAGGTGCTTGGCTTGCGGCCTATCTCTGACAAGCCAAACAGCATAGGAGAAACACTGATTTGTAACATTAAACTGATTTATTTAGTGGTTTTACCTGCAACATTCACCTGGTCTGTTTGTTTTGGAGAGGAAGAGACCTGCGGATAATTTTGCTCCCAGTAGAAACTTCCTGAAAGTCTGGATCGTAAGTTGTAAGAGAAAAAAGGTGAGCACACTTTAGCAGGTGTGGGGCTAGCAGTCCGTGTGTACTACGTGCCAAACATCATAGGAGAAACACTGATTTGTAACGTTTAACTACTTTATTCAGTGTTTTTACCAGCTATATTCACCTGGTCTGTTTCTTTTGGAGAGGAGGAGACCTCTGCGGATAATTCGGCTCCCAGTTTAAACCTTCTGAAGAATGAACACTGGAGGAATTTTTACTGGGAGAAGTTTCAACTGGTTGCAATCTGCCATCCTCTCCACTAGATGCCACTAAATACCCCTAAATCTTACACACAACCTTTTATTCTGTGGTTCCCAACCTGCATGTCAGGGGGCCTTTCCCCAAATTTAAAATAATTTCCTCTCACATTATTTTTGTTCAGTTTCACAAATCAAAACAAACATCATATTTGCAGGCTGTGCACAAGAATGGGAAAGCCCAGCATCATTCTCTGCTACTTCAAAGCTGCTGCAGTGACAAATATAAAAAGAAAGGTCAGAGGCCACAGTGCTGTACAGCTTCATGCTGCTATCACCAGCTAAAGCTCTTTATTTGTTTTAAAAGACATTACGGAGACATTCTGAAACATGGGAAACTACTGAAGCATTTCGTTGGTTCTTTTTATACATGGAAATATCACCAGGTTGTGTGAATCTTTAAGGCACAAGATAAATTAAGTAGACGGAGAAAACAAACCGCCTTTCAGAGGACAAAGTCCACCACAGAGGGACAGCTCTCGAATCCAATGGCTTACACACAAATCTTTTGATTCTTACAAAATAAAACACAGAACAAGACAAAGAGGGCGAAAGCTGCAAAACACAAATAAAAAAAACAACATTAAAAAACAGAAAATGCAGAACGCCACAGTTAACATACATATGTGTAAAATACTTTCTTGATATGCACACAACAAGGCAAAAGTCTGTGTTTTGAAGGTCAAGGGTCACATTTGCCTCCCTTGTATCAACACAACATCGCTGCTCTTTGGCTTTGAAGGGCCACATGGATAACATATGCATTCATTTGTGTTTGATAGCGAGAATGATGTATTTGTTACTGATATAAATCCCTTCCGAGCAAGTGCTGTAAAGTCAAAGCAGTGTTAAATATGATGTGCGTGAAAAAATTGTATGTACACAAAACAAAACAAATGTCATTTTCAACAAGAGTGTGTGTCTCGATTTAGACCATGCATAGTTTGTTCATATGAGACACAACATGTTGAAAATGACACTTCATGACCATTAAGACCAATGTTGATTTATTAACAAAATGTCAACAACTTAGAATGATTGCAGCGGAAATTATCGGCATATCAACCTCTGAAACGATGACAAACACCCTGCAGTGAACGCCACAACAAAACCAACAACAAAGCCCGTTTAATCCAAATGTCTAATTTTTGTAAATGTTAAATTTTCTTAGTTTTTAAAGCCACTATTTGTAGAATTTTTTTTTTCTGAATAAATCATCTTTCAAATTACTTATAAGTTTTTGTTTGTAGAAATTGGAGCGGTCCTTGGGGTGCTTTCAGATAATTTATCTCAGTGATTGTGCGGGTGCGTAAACCGATAATTCTTATGTAATAATGGTAAATACTGGTCGGCCAAATAAAGACTGGATACAAAAATAACTCGTGGTGAATTCAACATTTCCACACACTTTCTTTTTCCTTTTTTACAAATACTGTCCTCACTCACTCAATTTATTCCTGTTTTTTAGTTTGTTTGTTTAAAATAAAAAGATTGGTTATAAAGGCAAACTGAAAGACTTTTAATATGAAAACTTTCCAGGAAGTGATGAGTTTTCTTGACAGTTGCTTAACATTGCTCGAGATAAACTACACAAAACTTCAAAGCATCAGAGAGGTGAGGATATGTCGGCTATTAATGTGAAAATATACATTATTAACCAAATTTTTCGACACGACAGATAAACAAGGAGGAAGTTTGTGTTACCTTGGGAACAGGGGAAGTTAAACATAAAAGCATGGTCCAAATAAAGGTCTTGTTCTGTCTGCCATTGAATTAAAAAATATGAATTAATTTGAGAATTTTAAGTATAGTTGTCACAGTGCCTTTTTTTTTTTGGTTTTACCACTGGAGGGCGCCAGTGCAGACACTTCTATTCATAGTGGCTTTAGAATGAAGAAAATGTATGTGATAAATTAATCACTTCATTTTTAAATACGGTTCATGTTAATGCATTATTCGACTTGGAGAAATACTTTAACATTTTAGCAAACATACTAGTTTCCTTTTCTTAGAAACAGCTGGATGAGTAGATCAATGACACTGTTTAACATAAAGCCAGCAGCAACAAGTTAGCTTAGCTGAGCATACAGACTGTAAACAGGTGGAAACAGCTAGCTTTGCTTGGTCTGAAAGTAAAAAAAAACTGTGTACCTGCACCTCTGAAGCTCACTGATTTATATGTTAAACTATTGTTTTGTTTGGATTTAAGCAAATAAAATATAATGTACCAATAGTGAGCTTTAGAGGCTAGCTGTTTCCCTGTTTCAAGTCTTTGTGCTAAGCTAAGCTAACCAACTCCTGCCTGTAATGTCATATATAACTAACAGACATAAGAGTGTTATTTTCTCATCTAACACTCTCTATAAGAATGTTAACGCCAAAATGTCAAATTATTCCTTTAAAAACTGTTAAATTTAAGATAAGAATTACTCACTAAAACAGACTTTTTTTCTCCTAGAGGAATTTAGGCAATGTTTAAATTGCACCTAAGCATAAAAATGTTCCCCAAACACACAGATGTGCAAATATTCACTTTAAAAAACAAACAGGTCACACCTAACAATGGCATTATTTCAGTTTAACAACAGGTATATTAACAGATGAAAAAGAACTAAAAGAGCTCATATTTGCATCACATTCGTGCCGGAGACTGAAATTTGGAATTTCCTTTTTTCAAAATCAGTCAAAAGTGATTTTTTTCTTATCGTACTTAACACAGTCTTTGGGTACAAATGGGTTGGCACAATATTTTTGTACCTACAGTTCTTTTCACGTGGTTAATACACAAATTCTTACAGTGGAATAAAGCCAAGGTAAAGCTGTGTTACCAAAACCCAAAAGGGCAAAAAAATTAAATACTTCTGTTCTCTTTGGTGGCGTCTTTCCCTGCGACTGCCCGTCTGCTCCGCTTCAGAAACTTTGTCCAGAATGTTTTTCATTGAAAAAAAAAAAAGTAATCAAATAACATAAAAACAATCATTTGGCCAAATAAGAGACGCCCCTCTCTTATCTCTAGAACACAGCGTCTGTTTTGTCCAGCATCATCACGTTTATATTTACAAACTTGTACATTGTCTTTCTTTATCAAACTGCTGCAACAGCAAAAAAATAGATTGTCTTCCTCTACAGCTGTTATAGTTTCTCCTATAATTACGGAATATAGATTTCCACAGCAGTACATTGTATAATATATAGTATTCTACTTGTTGTATACTCCCTTTAGGCTATCAGCCTTTCACTTCTTAAAGGGGAGGTTTGCCTTGCGACTGATATGATTAAATGAATGTCAAAAGCTGCTTCTCTGTTTCTTTTGATACACTTACAAGTAATGATAAAAAACAACAACAACAAAAAGCCGTACTGTCAACTTAAGTGGAAGTGTGGCGATATGATGGTAGTGATGATAATAATTATGGTGATGATGATGGTTTCTCTCGTTGCCGTTTAGAGTTGGTGAGGCTTCGACAGGCCGTCTTCACTCAGCTCAAACCTGCAGGAGAAGAGAGAGGCTTTTATTTTGGAAACTCGTAGTTTCGTCCATTTCCTAAATCAGGCTCTAACATCAGTGTTTTATTGGCGTCATCAAACTCATCCCCCAAAGCAATGTTTTATTAATTAAAATAAGAGAATTATCAACGAGTACATTTGAGGAAGCAACTCTCACGGCAAAAATACTGCGAAAGTTGCCATGGAGCTGCAGATGAGTTTACATGATGTCAAAGGCGCAACAATTAATCAACTAGTTGTAAACTATTTAATCAAACAGAAAGAAAAGAAAAAGCTGAAATTCTCTAATTCCAGCTTCATAAATGACAGTAAACTAAGTTATTTCTGCTTGGGACAAAACAAGACACCTGATGATGTCATATAAGGCTTTGGGAAACACTCATCGACATTTTTACCATTTTCTGACATTTTGTAGACCTAACAACTAATCAATTTATCGAGAAAATAATTAACAAATTAATTTAATGAAAATAATCCTTAGTTGCAGCCCAACATGACGCATGTCCAGCAATTCAGAGTCAGACATGTCTCCTCTTAACCCTTTGAAACCTGAAGTGACATCACTTTTCTTGTGCTGCTTTCAGCTGCCTTTCGCAAGTATTTACACCTTTGTACCCTGAGCAAATTGATGCAATTTCTTTCAAAAATATGGGGGGAAAAAGGCAATGAGCAACTTGGAAGGAAATGTCCCAAAGATTGCAAAAAATAATTGTTTTCATTAAAAAATAAAAAAAAACCCTCAGGAAACATAAAAAGCATTAGAAGGCTTTTTCATTGAAGCAGCTGAACTCAAAAATCAAAACATTTTTCAGGCTTGAAGATTCATTCTATACATGAAATAGCACTTCATGGAGATTGCTAAGTGTGTAAATACGTGACCTAGATTTTAAGTCATCTGATATCAAAATTTAGGCTACATTAATATTAGAACTGCTGACAAGAACATTTTGTTGCATGCAACATTTTTCCGCAAACATTTTGATATCAAAATATTTAATGTAATTTTGAACCAAAGTGTCACACAGAGGCATTAGTTTCCTTTGTCGAGCAGTTCAGCAGTGACTGTTTCGAACCCTTTCAGACAGAAATTGAAACTTTTAGGATTATCACTTCTGCAGTCCTGATAACAAAGACACACTTCTCCTTAAAGGGGGTTTTTTCACCCTCCCACAAAAGAGGGATTTTCCATAATAGCTTTGTGTGAGCTGATTCATTTGGTTGTTGTGTTCAGATGCTTGTACATTAAATGAAAAGTGGAAGATCAAAGACTAACCATTGTGTCCAGCCCTTACTGATGTCCTCATGGGTCAACTCCACCAGTACCTGATGACAAAAGGCAACAGAAATAATGACTACCTTTAAATGACTGCATACATCTGAAATATTAAATTACAGTATCTTTTCACGACCAAACTAACCAACTATACTCGACGATAGTTTTTAAATGAACTGTTTTTAAATCATCATCAAAAGTAACAAATTCAAATCCTAAGCCCAGTTAAGGTCCGTACCTTTCCCAGAAGGCCTTTGTGTTTGGAGAGCAGACCTCCACTGTTCTTCACTGCGACATCCAGAGTCCGCCTGTGGAGCTCCACGAGGGAAACACTGAACTCAAACCTGAGCAGGCAGAGACAAGAAGAGCACACATCACATTTACAACTCAACCACTGGAACAAAACTGTGTTTAACAATAAAGTTATTTAACGATACAACTGAAAGCAGAACAGAGGGACTCACGTCTGATCGTAAATTGGATTGAGGGTTTTCTTGAACGTGTGAGTTTTCCTCCTGCCCGACCTCCGTTTGTCAGGAAGCAGGTAGAGGCGAACGTAAGGATCTGAGCCGTGATCTGTGAATGCTATCAGGTTTCTGCGGAGGTGAACCAATGCATATGATATGAGAACATTCACCTAGTAAAGAGGATTTTTGGAAGAAAAAAATTTGTCTGTACCTGCAGGCGTGCACGACCACAATGAGTTTGTTCCTCTGGGAGCTGTGTCTGACTGTCAGCTGGATCTCACCTAGCGGGAAATAACTGGGGCCTGAACCACTACGGAGAGAGGGAGGAGAAGTAAACCCATCAAAACCAGCACCTAATGTTCAAGCCCGTTTTTTCATTGTGGTGTGAAATCTGAGGATCAGTAAGGTAAAAGTTTCAGATCAGTAGAAATGTCCTCTCAAAGAATAAGTTTGGCAATATTCTATATTTTTACCTAATCCAATAACAAATGTATCTACTAACAAGTATTGTGTGTAACAAAGTCTGATGTATCTTCTTCCTTTGTGCCATATTTTGACTTAATCCCACATGCAGTGTCGTGTTGCCCCAAATACTTACTTGACCATCAAATGTAGATTAATCTGCCACTGAAAATAGTCCCAGACAAATGCACTATTTCCTCCCATTTGTTTGATAAAAACTACAGTGATAAGCTGTTTCAGGAAGTTACTTAGCCATTTTTTAATGAATAAAGAATATATGTGATTTTTTTTTTTTTTCCCCTAAGTTTTAAATCTTCAGTAGGAACCAGTGGGCTTTGAGCTAAGCGTCACAGACCGGGGAGAAAAGTCATGTTTTGGTCTTTTAATGGGATTAAATTAAAAATACCGCTGGCCTTATTGTATCTTTTTGTGTGTGTTCGTCACAGACAAAATCAAACATTGAAATTTCAACATTTTTCAGGCAAATGGCACCACTCTATACTCGAGGTAGAGTGTGGGATGAAAAGCATGACCATTGCATTCTTATTTTATTTTTTAACTTCCAGTAGGATCAGAGAGAAAAGTCATTTAACTCTACAGTGAAATTAGCACCTACATAACTTCACCCCTAGTGTCAGTGCTGAAATGGTAAGAGATGCCTGTCCTGGAGGTCAGCATATGTAGAAGTTCAATTTTAATTTACTTGAACTTGAACTTTAATTACTTTTTGCCAAAATAATTGTAGTGTCATAGAGTTATGTTGCTTTCACAGACTCAATGATCAGGTAGCATAAAGTCAAATGATGTTCCTGTGGTTTCCTGCTGTTAATATTTGCACCCTTTGCACAGAATTCGGTGGCTAAACCTTTGATTTGAATTATTGTGTTAGTTGGATTGACAGACAGATTGATTTATGATTGTCTGATACATACTTCTGCAGCTGCTGAAGTCTCTGCTGCAGCTCCTGAGCAGCGTAGGGGTTGGAGATATCTGAGGCGATGCTGGGCGTTGGTTCCTTGCCTCCAGCAAGGTACTGCTGGGAACCAGAGATGGCCAGGTTGGAGGTGCTCCTCCCAGTCTCCGCCAGGCCCTGACTTCCTCCTCTTCCACTGCCCTGCCCCAAGTCTGTGCTTCCAGGAGACCTAAAGGGGTCCTCCGCCTCCTTCCGTCGGTTTAGCAGGTCCTGGGCTGACACGGAAGAAGAGCGGGGGATGTCGGAGGTGGAGGAGGAGGGAGCTGCGGGGGAGCCAGAGGAGACGGAGGGCCGAGGGGTTTGGTTGCTGGAGCTGTTCTTGCGGACTTGCACGGATGATGGGGTGGAGTCTGAGGATGAGGAAGTGCTCTTATCCAAGCACAGCACCTGAAATAAAGCACATGGAGAGAAAAAATTATTGTATGCTGAAATTTTTTTTTCCAAGACCCAACATTTTTCCAAAGTCAAGCAAGAAAAAAGTTTCATACATCAATAAAGTTCCGCTCCATTTGCAGCCTTCCAGTAAAAAGGACAATATGTGAAACCACACGGCCACTTTCCTGCCCAATTTGGGATTTTAAAAAGCTTCTAACAGTTTGGAGCGAAAGTGAGCTAAACCACTTCAGGCGACCACTGCACACTGATCTAATGGCACCTTCACAAAGCACAAATTGTTTTCCGTAGCACTTAGAGAACATAATCTGCAGGTTGTCCTCTTACCCGCAGAGCCATCTTCATCTTGAGGGTGCAGCTCGGTCCGGAGTTCCTCAGGGGAAAGCGCTGGTTCAGCGTCATGTCCTCGGCCTCCAGCAGGCGACTCAGAGGCAGCGTTAACGTCCCAAGTGAACACTCGTGTTTCTCATCCTTCACCTACGAGACACAGGGGGAACAAAAACGTAAGCTGTCTGTCACAACTCATACATCCCAGATTTAACTTACTATTGCAATGAAATTATCTGCTGACAAAAGACACCTCCGTACCTCAACCTCCAGCTCTTGACATTTGGGGTTATGGATGAGGAAGGTGAAGGATTCCTCCCACACAGGTTCATTAGTCTTATATCTTGTCTGGAAGAGGACACAACAGAGAGGAGTCAGAGAATAAAAAATAAATAAAGGGATCCCTAATCACATTACAGCCAAGTGCAAAACTGCTATTTTCTAAACAACTGAAGTTACTTTAAGGGACCAAAGTCGTGTAAAAACTGCTCTGTGTCTGAAAACAACAAAACATATGTAGATCCAGCAGATTGCAAAATTTGTTGTCTGCCAAGTGTTCAGTGGCAACAGACTTACAGTACAACTTTTAAGCTTTAAGATGGTGGGTGCCATTATTTGACAACATAATAACCAACTTTTGCAGTCAAAGTGTCTTTTTTTCCCCCGAAAGGGGTTTTTTGGGGAGTTTTTCCTTATCTGCTGTGAGGGACCAAGGACAGAGGGATGTTGTATGCAGTGAAGCCCTCTGAGGCAAACTGTGATTTGTGATACTGGGCTTTATAAATAAAATTGGATTGAACTGAATTAAAAATTTCAACAACCTGTTTAATAGCAACCAACATGATTTACACTCAGACAAACTGAGCTAACATATCACCTGCAAGTATAGATGAGCATTTTGGGATTAGCTTAGCCTATTTGAACAATATCAACGTGTCTGTGTGCTAGGTACACAGCTGGAGTCACAACGTGGTAAGCCTTGCTTAGCATAAAGACTGGAAGCTAGCCTGACTTGTTGCAGTTAAATTTTGCACTACTTGTGCTATGTCCACTGCACACATGTATATATGTCTATCTAATCTAATAGATATCTAATAATCTAACTAGCTAGAATACTAGATTTACTACCTAAAAGCCTTGTCTATAAGGTTTTCTAAAGATCATGGATTAACACATTTTAGCTTTTTGTTGAATTCATACACAAACTGAAGTTTACAAATGGAAAACTGTGGTTTTATTCCACAAATTATTGGTGGTAATTAGTGAATTTGTAAAGATTTGTCTCCTAATTTTGAACTTTGGACCAATCCAGTAGTTGTTTCCCCGTTTCTAGTCTTTATGCTAAGCTAAGCTAGCAACGTCTTGACTCCTGCTTTGTACTTAATGCACAGACTAAAGATGCATATCCATCCTCTCATCTCATCCTTAGAACAAAAGCAGATAACTAAATTAATTATAAGTTATTTCAGAGTTACATTGGCTATAGTTTAAATGCTTTTTTAAATAGGAGGATACAGGAAATTCATATCACTGAAAGAATTGATGGTGGTGGGTATGAATGTGGATCACGCCTTGGTCTCACCTTACTCTCGTAGGACTTGTGTCCCACTGTGAACTGGACAAACGGACTGGGATCGCTGGTCACTTTTTTGCCAGACTGCCGGAGAGAAAAACACAGGTTTTACAAACAAGACAGAGCCATGCTAGCATTTATGACATTTTGGAATTTTACTTTGAGAATTTCTTTTTTTAACTACATAAAAACATTCAAAATTATTTGACAACTATTTCTTTAGAGTTCAATTAGCCACGGATGTCTTTAAAAAGATGCAGTGATGAAGAAAATGAAGCCTCGCTTTGGTAATCTGCTCTAAGGTGAATGAGTTACAGCATCTTTTTAAAGTAAAGTAATCCGACTAAACTTGTATGAGTCACTAACCAAACATCTAAAATGTTAATTTCACTGTTAAATGTTTTTACAACATGGCTGTCAACAATAAATTAAGCCATACTGTACGTTGTGAGCACTAATAATTTGCATTTTGAGCTAATACACCTGTCACATTTTAGCACCTGATGGCAAAATGTGAAACTTTTTTATGGAGGAAGGAGTTAAGAATGCAAAAGTCTCTCTAGCCCCAAACCAATAAGTCTGGAAAGCACACCAGATCAGTTTAAAAGACAGGATTAATTCAAAGTTTCAGAATCAAAAGTATGAGTGTAAATGTACTTTAGACAACAATGTTGTTATTTACAACGCACATTGTTAGACAGAGCACACAGTTTTAGTAAACAAACATGATTAGTGGAGTTTGTTAATGATTACACAACAGCAGTCAGTAAGTAAGTTCAGTTCCAGTGACTGACATCAGCCACAAAGCCGCTTTGAATGCTGCAGCAGCGCCCCCTGGTGAGCACAACGCCCAGTGAGCATTAACTCTGCTCAAATCCACAAACTTTCTCCCAACAACATGTTTCAAGATGTAAACTTGAAACAGAAGAGCTGTTTGCTCTTTAATAAGAAAGTTTATCTATACTTTCTAACGTAAATAGTCTTCAAGTCATACCAACCAATTACAAATATGTTATTTTGGTCAAAAGTTACATCTTTAACTCATATATGTAATCAGTTTCGGGACCTTTATGTGTAAATTGTATAAACTACACTTAAAAAGAACTGCATAAACAGGTACAAGGACGTCTATGGCGATGTAGTCAACATTTATTTTTGCAGCAGCAAAAAAAAAAAAACCTATTTCAGAATTAGACATTTGCATTTATGCAGCTGTTAAAGGACTTAATATGTACTTACTTCAAACTACAATGTACACTATATGGCCAAGGATGTGGAGACACTTTTGTGCACCATTAAAGGAAACCTTGCTGCTATAGCATGCGATGCTATTCTATACAACAGTGTGCTAACAAATTTGTATTTTGTCTCTTTCCTGTTTCAATGTGACAATGTCCCTGTGCAACAAAGTCAGCTCCTTTAAGGAAATGGTTTTCCCAGTTTGGTGTGGAAACACTTGGCTGGTCTGCACTGAGCCCTGACCTCAACTCCACCAAACACCTTTAGGATGAACTGGAAGCCAGATCTTATCATCTAACATCAGTGCTAGACCTTACTAATGCTTTTGTGGCTGAATGGGAGTAAGTCCCTGCAGCCAGGTTCAACATGTGTTGAAAAGACTGAAACCAGAAGAGTGATTGCTGTTGTATGTTAGTAGCCATGTTTATGGAATCACATCTGGGTGTAATATTTGGTTGTCCACAGACTTTTGGCCATACAGTGCAAGTATGAGCTGAATATGTGAGTCTATGAGCCTGTGTGAACACATGTCACTGTTGTCCTCTGTGTCCCTCCTTGGTGTCTGAGCGATAATGGGTGTGCTTCGTTACAGTGTCGTTACCTTGATGGCCTTACTGATCGAGGCCTTCTTCAGCCCCGCTTGGTTGAACTCTAACGGATTGCGCTTTGATTTTTCCCCAAGGACAAGGCAGGAGAGAGCAAACAACACACACACACACACACAAACACGCACACACACACACCAGCAGGTTATTAGGGAAAAGAGGGGCATGCAGGGAGGAGGATGAGGAGAAGGACAGAGCACACCAGGACCGCCAGCATCACCAATCGGGACATGATGAGACAGACAGAGAGACAACAAGGATGATCACATGGTTAATGACATTCCCCAGTCAAACCTGGACATGAGGTTAAAACAAGAGTCCAACCAATACTGGATTTATGAGGCCAATATTGATTTAAAAAAAAAAAACAAACTCAACCACAGCATGGGATGGGAGTCATTGATGGAGAGAGAGCAAATGAAGATCAAATTGAAAGGATCATTCTGATGATAAGAGACGCAGCAACAGTTTTATGTTATGCTGATAATGGGTGACATTTATACATTTATACTGGTATGAAATCCATTGATAATACCATGTAGTATGTATGTCACAGAGTTTTACAGACTGCAAAGAATCAAACAAAAGTCATAAACAAAAATCATCTCTGGTGTCAGACTCTGTGACACCGTGGTCACACTCGTATTTTCATCTTCATTGTCCGATCACACTGGGACACATAACACAGTTACAGTATGTATGCTGAGTCAGTGTGTGTCAGAATTAATGAAAAGACAAGTGTGACCACTGGGTGTTTGTAAAAAAAAAAAAAAAACAGCAAAATGACACATTATATATCTGACTGGACAGTCTTATATTACTGAAATGTGAAAATGGAGTTGAATTAAACTTGTTTTTAATGAAACAATACAGAGCTTCATATTTCTTCCCTCAAGCTCAGCTTTAATTCATCATGGAAGAATGTTGGATCAGTGACGGGATCAGAGGTTAAGATTTTTAAGTAATACACAGACTGAGGTAAAATCATTTCCTATCAGAACAGTCTGTGCATTCCTTTCAAAATAATAAAATAAAACTGCTTTAGTTTTTCATGGAGCAGTAACCATGTGCTGCCCCCTGGTGGCAGAGTCGGGGTGAACCGCCACACAAGAGACTGATGGGAAAACCTGTTGACACACAATGGGTTTATACAGAAAGGATGGAGGGAAAGCAATCCACAGAGAATTCACCCTCCCTGCTCTAAGTCTCTCAGACTTATCAAAATGCACTCCTTCCTCTCAAATAAAGCATTACATAAAACTGCTCTCTGACAATGACATAAAGTACAAACAGTTCCTAAAGACTGTTTTAAGTTGCCTGAGAGGTGCCAGTGGTTGAGAGCATCTGGGGCTTTCTGAATATGCTTGTGAACTGCTTATTCAAGGTCTTGTGAATTTTTGAAAACTTTGAGAAATATTCATCAACAACAGTTTTTATATGATGAAAAAACTGTCTTTAAATTTCTTTATATTATTATGAATTAAAAAAGAGTAATTAAAACTTTGACAATATCTCAATATTTTTGTTGACAAATAGAAATTTGACTTTTTTGTCTGTTTTATTTGAAAATGTAATGTATTAAAGCTCTTTACCGGAGATGATTTCAAACAGTCAAATTTAGCCTTACTAAAACTGGACTAAAATGTTTGAAAACTTTTGTCAGCTAAAACATTGACTAAGTTTACGTGCACAAAATATTCCGATTTTTGCCCTTATTCCGGAAAAGACAATATTCCCACTAAACTGTTCACATGTCAAATGAAAATGAATATCCCATTAATATTCCTGTTTACTTGCAACTATGCATGCTCTGATTAACGTGCCCTAATATGTCGTTTATCACGTCAAAATACATAGAAGTAGAACAGCTGGAGCCACTTATGTTTTTTTTTCTTTCTTTGCATCAAAATAGGATTTATTATCAGAGTTTCAGCCTCCCTCTTCCATTCCTTAAATCACCAACTTCAAAAGGTTGCCCATTTCCATAAACCTGTTAATATCCAAGTCTTACAGAATGTTTACAAGTAGGTGTGTTTCTCCTTCTGACCAGAAATGTGGGCTTTTCTTCTGGGCATGCATCTGTACACCAGCCTTGCAAACTCCTGGCTAGTTGTTTTGTGTACAATGCATGCATAACAACACACAGAGCTGACTGTAATCAGGCAAGAGGCTCTGTGTTGCAAATGGCAGTAAAAACCCCAAATATCCCAATATTTGGGATAGGCCTTATTCGGAATATCCAAACCGAATATGCTGGTTATATAACCCATATCAAGTTCAGAGTACTGTCTGAATAATAGTGGAATATTAGTGTGCATGTGAACGTAGTCAGTGATGCCTAAAACAAGAATAACATGTCCACTGTTCTCTGTAACTAATTGGACTAAAATGGTAATTGTTTTTGATGACTAGATTAAACTTTCCGTCACCTGAAACACTGTTAAAATAAGAAGGATGAAGTTGAGCAAACATGTCTAACACTCACACAGATCTCAGGAATCAAGACTACTTTAAGATGAGTGCATCAAAATTCTTATCTAGTATTTTTTGTTTTGTCAATGAGACACCTATAGAACATAAAGTAAGAGCTGCACCTCTAGAAAAGCAAAGATAGAGCAGTATTGATTGTTTCATCCTTTTGTAAACTTTTGCTCTGTTAAAATTCAATCTGTGCTGGCAGTGAGGCAGAAAAACATCAACACAACTTTTTTTTTCCAAGGAGAAAATGAGTGCCATCGATACAGAGAATGAGCTCTGGCGAGGCTCATCTTATTAGAAGCACAGCCAGCGCCTCCGCCTTCCAGAAAATAACCCATCTGATGAAACTAGATTAGTGGAAACAATGTACAATGTGTCAACTAATTCTGTGAGATCAATAATTCCTTATGAGAGAAAATAACAGAGGAAGGATGCTTTTGATCACCCTAAAACATTAAACCCTCGATGTTGTTTGCTTATTTTCTGGTCACATTTTTCTATCACGTTCCTCAGCTTTTTGGAATCAGTCTAACTTTAACAAATAACACTCATAACAAGTAATGATATTATGGAACTCATGCACTAGTCGGGATTCATGCTCATCAGGCAAACAGTTCTCTGCAAACACAAGCAAACGTAACAGCAAAGGAACATGACCTCGGGCTGAGGCAATCACACCTTGGCACTGGCCAAACTACTCTAGGATGCAGAAAACAGCCAGCGGACTCACAAATAAGGTCCTATAGAGAGAGGCAGTGTTCTCGCAAAACACAAGGCCCGCCGCTCGCCTCTCTTTTAAGTAGCCAGAGCCCAAGTTCCCCTCGAAGACGCTCTTCAGAGGGGGAGGATGTAAGGTGGAGAGAAGAAGCAGAGAAGAAGAAGAAGAAAAGGCTGAAAAGAGGAAGGTGAGGCCTGCACTACAGAGTTCAAACACTTACATATAAACTTATCTATACTAAGAAATACTAGAGTAGACAAGATAGACTTAAAAGTGCTGTGACAGTTCAGTTACCACAAACAAATGAGACCACTGCTGAGTAAATGCATACATAAAGTAGCACCCAGAGTTCTTGCCAAAGCAGGAAGAGGATGCTGTTTTTATAATACAAGTAGATCCATTTGTAACACTAACAGATCTTAAGAGTCAAATCAATTTCTACAAGATCACCCAGGCATAATCCACAAAATGACTGTAAAACAAATTACTTAATTACTTTTTCAGAAGCAATGCAAAATGTATTGTTATATTATCACGATTTAAACCACTAGATTCAAATAAAAGCCTCATGAACTTTATCAGAATATTATTTTTGTGCCATGTACAGAGTCAGTGAGCTTAACCAGACTGCAATGCTCCTGATGGACAATAAACAAAGCTCAAGAGCTTCTTTGATGCATGTTCCCAGAGGAACTTTCAGTCCTATGGACAGGCACTTCTATTCTTAGTTGCACTTACACTGTGACTTACAGAACTGATTCAACTGCTGCACTAATTGTGACACAAACTAACTCTGACAGCAGTTTAATCAGCTTCCCGACTTTTTTGTATTCATGTAAATGTTCATTTTGGTGTGTTAAACAGATTGAAATGGAAATTTAAAAAGGCGCAATACTTGAGACGAGAAAAACACATGGACACAAATAATAATGATAATAACACCATATTGCCTTTCTGTCATGGATTTAGCACAGTTACAACAGATTTTCCTTTTATTTGATTATTGCAAATTTATCTTATCTTATCCTTCCTTATCTTATCTTATCTTATTAGTAAAAGTCCTCTCTCTACTGCAAATTTAGGATGAGACGCAGTGAAGAACAGAAAAGAAGTTCAGAAAAGAAAATAAGTGATGGACAGAGGTTTCCAGACTGTATGAAGTGTAACCAACAAGCAAAAACCTGACTGGAAAATACACAATCCAAATCATGTTTGTTACATACTACCTGGAGCAACTGACAGGAGGAAAATCAAGAAAAACTCTTCTTAAAGGCATGAAAGTATTCAACCGTACAGCAACAAAAGTAAAAACACTACAGCTCCAGTTTATGTAAGAAAAATAAAAACAATATATGAAAACTTTGGGATGATAAAATAAAAAATCAGAGAAAATACATCAGTTTTACTTAATGTCTCATAAATCTGACTTTGAGTATTTCTTTTCTTATCAATCCCAAACTTGTATATATATGTACAGTACAGGCCAAAAGTTTGGACACACCTTCTCATTCAATGCGTTTTCTTTATTTTCATGACTATTTACATTGTAGATTCTCACTGAAGGCATCAAAACTATGAATGAACACATGTGGAGTTATGTACTTAACAAAAAAAGGTGAAATAACTGAAAACATGTTTTATATTCTAGTTTCTTCAAAATAGCCACCCTTTGCTCTGATTACTGCTTTGCACACTCTTGGCATTCTCTCCATGAGCTTCAAGAGGTAGTCACCTGAAATGGTTT